TGTTGCGCCGATGGCCAATCATGACGTGTTATTCAATTTCATGTGATCGACCAATCATGAGAAAGTTATCCTATATACCTACACATGTATATAAATGCTTGTTCCCCGATGTTAGAGTAGAAGTCGTGTGCCCTTTTGACCTCTTCACAATAAAGAGTATTTCTCATAAATTGCTTCTATCCTTAAAATCGTCTTCCTAAATGCCTTTAATCATAAATGCCTAATGATCATGTAAATTTTGTGTCTTGTCCCGGGACTAAACCTTGCCTATAAAAATGTGACCATGACCCGAAGAAAACCTAACTCTAGTTCACCATCGGAGTCAACAAATGATGCTCTCCCAAAACCGATGGTGACACCGGGATTTCGTGGTGCCGATCGTGACCTGAAAATGACGCGATCGGTGATTTGGGTACTTGCATGAATTTAATTAAAAGTATAAAACAATGATTGCATGATCGATGGGTAAATAATTATGTAATAATTAGTGACGCAAATGTAATTTAGTAATTAATAAATAAGGCATTGATCCCAAGGGGGGAGTGCTTAGCTTTGGATATTAGAAGCTTACGACCTTCTTTGAACAGGAGGAACCGTCGATGTTACACAACTGATTTTTCACACGGAGTGAAACACATAAAAAAATTATTTTACAGTACTTGATCGGACTTAATCAGTCAGCTAGTACATGTTACGATTATAATCCAACATCATTTTTTTATAATAAAAAATGTTGTTGGATTATAATCGTAACATGTATTAGCTGACTGAACAAGTACTGTAAAATAATTTTTTTATGTGTTTCACTCCGTGTGTAAAATCAGCTGTGTAACATCGACGGTTCCTCCTGTTCCTTCTTTGTGAATAAACTGACAACTGTGTGAACGCAATAGGTGGAGTATCTGTACGATACGTCAGTCGTCGTATTATTACAAGCGAGTGAAGTCTACTAGTAAAACTTACAAGTGCACGGCATACTGTAGAGATCTGTGATACTGGTAACACTAGTGGTATTTGAGATTAGACCTGTGGACCCATTATACAGATTCCCATACGGTTAAACGTTTTATAAATGTCTCACAGACAGTAATCGTTGTCTGTCACATCAGCAAGTACATTCTTTATAAAATCTACATAGATCTACAACTTTATATAAATATTATATAGAATTCTATATAAAAATTATATATTCTAATTTTCATATGTTATTTAATATAGAATTTATGTTTGTGTATAAAGTTTTTAAAACTAAATTTCATTACATTACTTTTATACTGTGCATAAAATTTTTATTATCAAATTATATTATTAAACCAAAATCATTAGAATTAAGTTTACAAACCAAGGTGCTATTGTAGATATTAATTTCAAAAAAACTATTAAAATGTTTACAACTCAGGGTGCAATTGTAAGCATTAATTTTAAATATGAAAATTCGCTTACAACCTAGGGCACTATTTGTAACTAAAAATTTGTATATATTTTATAAGAAATTTTTATATACTGTACAACTAAAAGAAAAAATTTTTGTAAAAAATTCTTTGTAAAAAAATAAAGTTTTTTTCTACTGCTAAAAAAATAAGATTAATTAGGTGAGACTGACTGGATTTTATGTTTTACATTACCCTCCTCTCCCCTTCAGAAGGGAGAATTTGTGGTTTACATAGTAAAATTTTTAAAAATTTTTTGTCAAAAAAAAGTTTTTCCAAATTGTTCTATGAAAAATATAAAAATTTTCTGAAATAGCCCATAGCCCAATGTATATTTATCTAAATTTTTTACTATAATTGAGAGGGGGACGCTAAAGAGGGACACAATATAAAACACAGAATCCAGTCTGCCTCACCTTAATATTAAAAAATTAATATAAAAACTAATATTTTCTTATCCACCCACCTATGGTATTGTAATTGAGTTTTTTGTAGAACTTGATATTTGTGAATTATTAGCCAAGATGGGTTGGTAGCTTCAACTAGACAACTTTTAATCATATATTTATCTGTTTCTCAACACTGAGTGAAATTTGTTCACAGTTTATAATTTGTTCAGTACAACAGAAAGAGCAAGTTTTAAACAAATTTTTATGATTTTGTGAACTTGTAATAATAATACTTGAAGATATATTCTCCAAATCCTCAAATTGAACTTGAAATATTTCACATGATTGGATTCTGAAATTTGACAATAGCGATAAGATTATAAGAACATGTACATTGTTGCAAAATAGGTAATACGCTAACACTTATGCACATTAAGTAAAGCCAACTCACATCATTTACTTATTAAGGTTTGAAGGATGGGTTTAATTAATGCTACTGTGTGATATAATTTAACTGTTTTCTATTATGAATATATTTCTTCCAACCTTTTTTTAAAATATTTCGTTTGACTAGAGCAGTTTCAAAATTGTCATCTCCAATTTTCATAATGAATGAAAGGTTATCATTGTCTTCAACCTTCACAATGAATAATGGTTATAAAATTCCATTACTAGGTCTCAAAATTTAGATAAATCTTTTTTTTTCGATAAATACAGAATTAAATATTTTTATTTAAAATAAAAGCTATAGGTATGGGTGGTGTGTGCGATAGTATCAAAGCTCCCCAAGGGAAAACTACACAAAATATAACATGATGAATTTGACAATTTAAAATTCAATTTAATAATTTAATTAATTTAGATTACATTGATATGATATTATTTTATATTCATACTTTAAGTAATGTAATATAAATATTATTCAAAGTTATCTACCAAGTATAGTTCAAACATGCAAGATCAATATGATGCGTTTTTTGAATGGGTTAGTTAAAAATTAAGCATAATTTTTTTGTTCTTTTTTTTTCAATAGTTATTTATTATTTTATTTATTATTTATAAAGGCAAAATATAAATTTAATGTTACTGATGAATTTACGGCACGAGACATCAATGCAATTTGTCACAAACTGTATGTTTAATAATATAATTTTTTTATAATGAAATATTATTAATTTACATGTTAAATTTTTACAGTAAATTAGAAAATATTTTTGAAGAAAATGAAGAAATTAAGTTAGCAAATATTGAATTGCAATGGATTTGTATAAAACTTGAAAAATATTTAGAGCTTAACAATAATGAAATTACACATCTTTATACTAAAGTATCCCAAATGCCAAATTTTTTATTTAAGACCTTTTGTCAAATAGCAGCCAATGAACCAGAAAAATATTTTGTTTCTTGCTTTAAATCCTTTACTGAATATCATCCAGAATTTGTGGATAAGGTTTTAAATTTTAACTTTAAAGATAAAATATTAGAAATTAACAATATTGTTCCTATTCAAAGTTCGATACTAAATTTTATTTGGACTGAAGACAATATTGAAACATTTGACCAATTTATGAGGTATCGCATTCAAGATTTGGAAAATAGGTTAGAGAATAATAACTCGAATAAGTGTATAACTTATGCAAGATATAAAATCGAAACAGAAAAACATGTTAATCAAATAAAAGTTCTTGAGAAGGAGAATTTTGAACACAAAGCAGTTTTTGAGAATGATAAAAAAAACATGCAATACAAATAAAAAACCTAAAAAATAAAATTAAGAGTCAAAGTTTGCAAATTATTGAGTTAAAGAAAAGGTATTTTATGTTAAATTATTTGTTGATTATCATTAATTAATTGACTTGATGGATTATTAAATTCTAAAATATTTGTATAAATTGATAAATTGTGTTTTAAAATATTATCACGAATAAATTGAGGGTTA